AGCAAGACAGCGCCACGGCATAATGCAATTGCAACATGAATTTTATGAATGTTTATGTTTGTTGGCAACAACAATCGCCATAACCAATGTCCACAATGGGCGCATCATAAGCAACTACTTGAAAAGAGCACATATTTACACCACGCGGCTTCATGAGAGAGTCTGGCTAGCAGGAACGATGTAAAAGTGGACAGACGGGTATTCGGCCGAACGGCGTGTGTGTCCACATCGAATCATTATTTTGCATGAGACTCTGCGAAGGAGTCGACGAGCGGGCGGTAACTGTAGAATTAGGCGAAGACGCCGAATGCGACGAATGGAATGATTAAAGCCTTGAAGAAACATAACAAAATTAGTTGTTGGCACAAGCTTGGCTCCACGCGCAGCTGAGACGAGCCGACGGTTGAGACGAGCGGTCCACTAGACGGATGGCTGTTTAGATGGGTTGAATGCAAAGAAGGCTCTAAGCAGTTGGCTTATAAATTTGCAGTAACGTTAATTTCAAATTTAGAGCTCGACAAATGACAATAACAACAACATGAGCAAGCATCTCAGCAAAGCTGCCAACACAAACAAGCTGCGAGCTGAGTAGGAAAACGTACGAGGTATGCGCGAGGGGGTGGGTACGCAGTGTTGTAAGGTAAGTTAGTTGCCGTTGTCGGATAGATGAAGTAAAAGACAGCCGCAGGGCGCGTGCTAAATTCACAACGGACATTGGACGCAAGAATGCACTGGCAGAAGCGAACAGACAGACGGACGAACGTGCGGACGAGAAAGTCAGTTAGGCAGCAAGCTGCGAGTCAGTAGGCAACAATGACAGCAATATGGTGAAGGTGGCACGGAGTTGAATAACGTAAATTAGAGCGAAGTGGTGGCGTTTGTGGCGCGCGCACCACACACATACTTCGGAGCGTACGGAACGGCGGCAGCGAACGGTCAAGCTGGCGGACGGCGTATGAGCTGGCAGTGACAACACAGGCGGCCGATCGGATGCCTCGAATGCTTTTGGATGCCGTTCGGTAGGTGAGCCAACAAAAATGACTGGAGTGACAAACGTTTAACGGTAATCTTTAATGCTGTTACCAAAGTTGGTTTTGTTCTTTAGCTAATGCGCTTTGTGTTCCTTCTTAATTTGTAGCAGCCGCTATTTGAGAGCCGCTGGCAACACGAAAACGAAATAAAATGCATATTTTTCTTGGCCCAACTCCCGCCAGCGAATAGCGAAAATAAAAGAAAACATTGCAATTTGTGCTGGTTAAGAGCACCGAAGTCGTTGAAGCCAAATATGGAAAGTCTTTGCACACTTAAAATTAGCGATAAGACAAATCTGACACCTACCAAAGTGGCAAAGAGAAAAATTAGTGAAAATCTATTTCCATGTGCACTTTGTGGGCAGCGCGAACCGACGCGTCCGAGTTCGCACAGCTAGCAGTATGCGAAAGGAACGCCGGATGAGAGACGTGGAAGCGCAGAACCACTCGACCTACCACAACAAATCGCCGCGCATCAAAGTCACAAGGAAGCACCACAATAAAACAGCAAACTGCAAAGCGCACTAAATCGCTGCGAAGAAGGCAAAGCGCAGGCAAGTCTGCTCATGCCAAAGGCGATCGATGAACAACAACAAACCAGCAAATTGACGATGTGCTGTTCAATTGTCTGGGCCAACTCAGCTCGAGTCAAGAAGAAGCGTATGAGGTGTGGGGGGCGCACAGCTGAACCAACAAGTGGCCATCAAATCACTACGCCGCCAGCATAGAGGCATAGAGCAGTACGAGTGAGGGCATGCCGGCGTTGCCAAGTTGCAGGGAGCCTCTGCTTGCTGCATGGAATTCTGAGGCTGTTGCCGTTGGTAGCGCAATGAGTCGGTTTGACTATGAGTATCGGATAACCTCATTGACCAAACGCATTCGAGAAACATCAAATGTGAATTAGTGCAACTACAAGTTGCATACGAGACCGAGGAAACCAAAAGGTAGCAGTGAAATAGGCAAACTACAGACGGACACACTGGAAGACGAACAGCGGCCACAGTGATGTAGCTGCATAATAATTCGGAGCAAGCATAATTTAAACTTATTCCGTGTTTACACACACACACACTGACACATGCATATTTACACATATGAACGAAATTAATACAGCCGCGAGGAGTATGAGTCAGCACCGTGTTGGGAGGAGTGATTCGGAGCCGGCAACGACGGAGACATAGTTCAATGGCTTTGCTATTTGGAGAATGTTGTCGTGGATGCAGTCAATAATATTTATTTAAAATAAGTAGATGTGCCGTTGCAGGATGCCTACAGTCAGACAGTATGGCTGTGGCGAGCTGGACATGTCAGCCGAGTCGATGGTGTACCTATTATTGAAATAACAGTTTTTGGGGGTTTAGTAGCGCTGAGATGACAATGAACTAAGAGAGAAAATGCAATATATTTTACAAAGTGGAACTAATTTCCATTAATTCTCTGACAGTGTCGAAAGCGATGATTGACTTTTTGGCAAATGACGAGTTGTCTTTTTGAAAATGTTGACTTTGCACCGAGAAATAAAACTGCCTTTGTTTGATGTTGAGCGAAGTTTCTGCAAATATTTGTAATGAGTGTTCGGCAATGAAGGCGCTGAAGGTGTGCTAAGTATTTTTCGAAACTTTTCGCACTCAAATTTGCCTGCCAAAGTGCCATCGCTATTTGCAACAACGATTTTTTTCTTGGCTGATCAGAGTCACGGCTGTTCCATGTACATTTTATTGTGGGGTGTTGCAATTTTTCGTCGATTTGACAGCATAAGCCGTCTACCGATGAAAAGAGAGGATCAAAATATTGGATAATATGTTAAACGATTCCGAAACTGTGAAGACCACTGACTGAGAAGTGATTTACAGGTTGGAGATTCCGTCTGCGAATATTAGCTTGTGTTGTCATACGAACGTACATGTTTTTTTAATGGAATAATAGTAAAAAAGTGGTTGTTCTAGAGACACCTGCAACTTCTCGCCGAAGTTCATGGTTTATGTCTTTTCTGCACACGTCTCTTGGAAGGTGCTTCGAGACAGTCACTTTGTGTGTGATCGTTGCATACAACAACTCCGCTGAAGAGCTTAACATAAATTTTTAAATCCGCCCCTTCCATTGACCGCAATGAGTATATCACAAAACACACCCTTCCATTCCGCTACCACTCTTATTGCCCTTCTTAATTTAAAATCATTAAAATGGAAATTTTCCCGAAAGTGCTTTTTTCTTTGCATACGAAAAAATCGGTATCAACATACACCCTCATTCGCATATGTGGAAAACACTTTTAAGTCTGTTAATGCTGATATGTGTATCTAATGGAAATCAATATCTTTTTTATCCTAACGGTCTCGGCATTTCCACCGAGTTTTCCGATTACCAATTGATTATGCTCGAATGTCGCTTATTTTCTAATTATAACAAAAGAGCATAACACACATGTGCTGTCGCGCATGTGTGCGTGTGTGTGTTAGTGTGTGTCTAAAGTGCATTTGTCATTTATGCATTTGCAGACACTGACAGCAGCACCCTGTGCGCCACGCGACCCGAAAAGGTTACCCACTGTAATTTTTTTATCAACAATTTGCAACCCTTCTTGCAACCAATATTTTTTCGTGTAATTAGTGTGGAAGCAACACTACGACGCGGACAACAACAAATCATTAATAGCCATAAGTAGAGGGAAAGCAATAAAAAATAAAAACAATGGGGGTGGAATGTGCATGTGTGCACATATGGGGATTAAAAAATAGTGGTTGAAAATGTTGCCAAACATTAAGTGGCCACGCATGTGTGTGTGTGTGTATGCGCGTGTATGAGCTTCATGCAAAAAGTGTGAAAAGTCAAAGAGTGCAACAAAAGTACAGCGAACGCATTTGTAAAAAATTATAAAAATTATAAAATTGATTATAGTTTTTCGCACTCTAATTATTTGCTTTTATTGCGCGCCAAACGGATTTGACGCCTCATACACACAGCGCCTGAAAGCGAGCGCCAACATTCGCCGAGAGCGAGATAAACAAAAGGGGAGCGTAGCTTTCACACGCGCGCAGCTGAGACTCCACAAGCGTTAACGCCAGCGTTCGCATCCAGCGAAAAACACTGTATGTGCGTCGTGCATCTGCCGACTCTGATTATTTGCTCTTTAGCTCTCTCACTCTCTCGCGCTACTGACGCGCCAAGTCTTCGTTAAGCTAAGCTGAGGCAAGCATAGTTCCCCACTCTTGCATGCTTCTTGCTTAGTTGGTTATTTGGGGCTGTGCCAACAACAATGCTGTACTCAGTTAATGAGCGCTTCACACACACACATACACTTGCGATTGCAGCTTTCCTTGCGGCGCTCCCCATTTGTATATTAGCGCTCTGCATAACTGGCTCAATTAATGACGTCATTATTTTTTTTCGTGTTTTTGCCGTTAACGCGCTCTCGCACGCATTCGCTCGCTCTCAGCTAAGCTACTACAGCTGTTGGCCATTCTTAGTGGAGAGCGCGTCAATAGCAGCAGCGGCGAAGAGTGGGTGGTTTGTTGGTCTGTTGTTGGCCGGCGGCTGCGCTTCCACCACCAGTACCAGCACCGCCTGCCCGAACGTGCGTCTTGCCGTAGTCGCGCGCAATTCATTCTTCGGCAGCGTTGTATTTTGCTTTACTTTGTTTGCCGCATGTCTTTACTCATTCGTTCGACAGGCATTTGCATTCGTTCGTGTTCGTTTTGCCGTGGCAAGCAATAAGCAGCGCGGCGGCGTCATTAACGTACACAAAGTAGCAACAATATATAGCAGCGGAGACTTCGTTTTCACGTTGTTCGTTTTGCTTGACATCGCTCGTTCGTTCGGCTGGCTGTCGTGTTTGCTGCTCGTTTTTTAACTGCTGTCATATTAATGTGGTTGCTTTTAATTGTTGTTGTTGTCCAGTTAACGTGTTTGTTGTTACTCGAAATGTTGAATGCATGTGTGCGCGCTGATTTAATTGTTGTTATTAGTGTTGTTGCTGTTAGCGCTGCCATCGCATTGCTGGCGTTTCTTTTGGGGGGTCCACGGCAGCGAAGCAGCAGCGCGCGTCGACCGACAAGCAGCAAGCGGGCACAGGCGGTCTGCGAGTTGGCAGCGCTGCTCAGTCTTTTGACGGCGCTCTGCCTGTTCGTACGACTCGCACGGACGACTCTTGAAGCCACCGCTGAACTGTGAATACATTTGGAACTCGCATGTGAACCGATTACCATCTTGGCGTAGCGAGCTCAAAATTAAACAGATAATTGCATAAGTAGCATAATTAAATATTTTGATGAACTGCAAGTTGGGGCAATTGCCTGTGTTTGTGTGTGATGAAGTAGTGACTAGTGCAACATATTGGCGACAATTTGAATTTTTGAGCCATACCGCGCGACCGTTAGATCTGTTTTGGCTTTGCAAGTAAAGTTTAAGCGTGTGTTTGTGTGTGTGTTTGAGCAGCGCCTAGTTTTGCATATCGACACCGTTATATTAACTGCGAGTACACTCAAAAAAGCGTGCATTAAATATTAATAGCTCCAAACAACAACAACAATAACATTAACGATCACACGTTGCACGCCAATAAACAGCCACTTATCGCCAACTTTTGCTACCAATTTGAACTAACAACAATTTAGCAATCAACAAAAAAAAAACACAGAAACAAAAACACAACAATCGCTGCAACAATAAGCAACAACACCAACACCGTTACGTTGCGATCACAGCAATCGCCGTGATTAATTGCATGTGGCAGTTGAAAGTGATTGATAAATTGCAGCAATGCGATAGCCGTGTTGTTGCCGCTGCCATACTTGCCACTAATAACGCTATCGCTGCCTGAGATGTTGCCGTGGAGGCGCACAGGTAGCCAACAGCAATGCGTTTCGCCAAAAATAGAAGGCAACGAATTTTTTTAAAACGAAGAAATTAATAAATTTAATTTGTGTGCATGTGGCGGAAAATTTAATATACAAAAACACCAACAACAAACAGCAAGAAAAATTATTAAAAACAAATCGCAAAGTGAACAACACACAAATGTGAGTAACAGTATTTATTTGGTGCACCAACGCATTTTTGGAGCCGAGAAAGTGACCGCATTTTAATGAGACAAGCAGCGTCGCAGTCGGCACAGTGAACAAGCAAGGATAAAAGAAATGCCAAAAGTTGCAAAGTGAAATTTTTTTAAACAAACAGTGTGTGCTAATTAGCGCTGTGCATAATATAATACAATTTTCGAAAACAAAAACAACAAAGTGTGTGGAAAAGCTATTGCGGTAAAACTTGAAATAAACAATTTTAGTCGAGTCATGGTGAACTAATGCAAAAACAACAAGCATACTAAAAAATAAAAAATAATAATTTAATTATATTTATATTAAAGTAATTGTACTATAGAAATCTTTTCAACATAATCTTAAACTAATTGAAATAAAAGCTGCGAAAACTAAACTCTGTTGAAGATTTTGTGCTGAAAAATATGCAAAGAATGCCGAAAATCACAAATTTGACTAAAAATATCGCATTGAGGTAAGTTGCTTTGAATCTAATGATTGTTTTTAAATTTTTTAATTAAGCTCAGCATCAAGCCACTCTGGCCTTTTGCTGATAATTTTAAGAAAATTCAAAAGACTAATTTAATGTTTAAGTAAATTTGAAGCGCAGCGTGCAAAACAATTGAAAACATGAGGGTGTTATCAGTAAATCAGTAATTTCAGTTTTTGGAAACTATTGCAGTAACAGAATTTTCGAAATAATTTCCATCTTTTTTGTTATTATTTTTCGTGTATAAGCGAATGTTTTCTAGTATATAGCTTTAATAACATTTTTTACAAAACTTTTCGTTCGAAATAAAAAGTTTGAACCAAAAAGCTTTAAATATTATATATTACAAATTTCTAAAAAAAAAAATAATAAATAATAATAATAAATAAATAAATATAAAGAAATTTTGATTTTTTGGTTTTACGCTTTTTGGTGTATTAAGTAAATTTGTGTTTTTATGAAAGTATTTATATGAAAATAAGAAATTTTTAATTTTTTTTTGTAAATGTGGTACATAAGAAATTTATTTAATTTTTCGAAAACAATATTAACATCGCTGATATTTAAAAATATTTACTTAAAATACATATTTCACTTCATAATATGAATTTTTTAAAATGAATGCATTATTGTAAATTTTAAAATTATATTAAAATTATAAGGAAATGAATTTGCTAGCAAATTTTAGTAATATTAATATTTTTCAAAAAGTCGTAACGCGCATAATTGGTTGCGCTTCTCTTGCAATTGTTGGAATGTGTTTCGATTTTAGACAACAATTTTGGGCTTTTATCATTATGTAAGGCATTGCAAGGTGTAATAAATTTTATGAAAAGCTGTATAGTGTCTCAAGTTTATAAAGAGCGCTACGAGTACTTAAAATTTGTAATACTCAAAAGGAAGCGTCAGAGAGCCTATAAATTACATATTTAAATAATAAGCGTGAGGAGCTGAGTCGATTTAGCGATGCATGTCTATACGTCCGCCTATATATATACAAAATAGTACCTAGTTTTTGATATATTAATCTGAAATTTTGCACACGTCCTTTTCTCACTTATCAGGTCACTATGTATAACATATAGCTGCCATACAAACTAAACATTCGTAAGTGCTTGTATAGAAGGTTTTTTCATTAAACGAGATATCTTCACGAAATTTGGCATTTTTTGTTATTTTGGCTTTCGGTTATTGTTCGGTGCAATCTCTGAAGAAATTGTTCAAATCGAGTCGCTATAGCATATAGCCCAAGAATTTTTGTTTATGGTATGTAAAGGGTATTGAAGTTTCGGTGCAACCGAAGTTAAATTTTTGTGTTGTTTTGATATTTTGTATATTCATTCACGATCACCAAATCGCAGCTTAACCCGCTGAGAAAATATGAAAATGAATGAAAAATGGCAAATTCAGTTTCAAATACAAATTAATTACGTTAATTACCGTGAAAAATGGTCGCTGTTTATTCGGCTTGAGTCAATGAACAGCAAATTTAATACTTATTCATAGAAAAGTTGTTAACAATTCGAAAATATGCTCGGCGCTGTTTACACTTGTAATTAATTTCGCAATTTGCTATAAAAATGCAATTCGCATGCAAACCGCGCTAAGTTGCTAAAGTGACAACTACAACGACAACAACCACAGCAGAGCAGCGTATATTAAAGCTTAATTTACAAAGCGTCGCTTATTTTGGACGCTCCAGCGTGCATGTGTGCGTGCATTTAAATTTATTTGCATGTATTTGTTTAGTTTCCAAAGTTGAAGGACAGCCAGTGTCAGCGCGAGTCGAGTCTATTGACTTTTCACTAAGTAGCCGCTCGCTAGTTGCCGCTGTTGCTATTACACTTGCATTACTAACTTGCTTCAGAAGCAATTGTTGGGCATAATTAAGTTGTAATAGAAAAAAAAATTGTTGAAAACATATTCAGAATTACCATTTAATTTTAATTACTGTCGCTGTATTGTGCTTTTTCACACACACAAAGTCACAAACGAAATAGCAAATTACCTAATATGCATTTTAGCTGCAGCCCATACGTGTATGGATGTGTGTGTGTGTGTGTGCGTTGCCGCAAACAAACTGCATTTTGTATAACGCAAGAGTTAATCATTCTATTAATTACAATTAATGCAACTAATTATTCTAATTACAAGTGGAGAGGGAGAAAAAAATGCAAAAAAGCGGAAAATATACAACAATAGCAGCAATAATAAAAACCCAATTGCATTTTAAGTGTAATAAGTAATAAATTGTTGCTAGAAGCTTCTTAGCGCGAGCGCGAGCATTGCCAGCCATAATTCAATTCGATGCAAGTGGAATTTGCACATTCGCAGCTCCGCAATGATTGATATTAAGGGCAATGAGCTAATGATTGCTGATCGGCAAGCGGCGAGCGGGAAGGCGTAAATTATACAGTTATTATTTAGCGATTACTAACACGAACATGTGTCTGTATGTCGATTTGTATGTGCGACAGTTGCTCATTAATTATTAATTAGTAAAAGCGGATTTCGATTTCCCCACAGCATTTGATGAATGAAAATAGAAGGTATGGCATTCTTGATTTCGAAGCATTTGCAATTTAAATTAGGACACCTTCGCACTAATGCCGTAACTACCCGGAGTTTACACTATTTATTAGTTCCTGTTGCAAGTTGTAAACAGCTAATAATAGCAAGTTAGCAAGGAAAATTCATGAAGCATACTTTTGGTTGGAAGAACGTTTGGCGATCGTTGTGAGTTCGAAATAAGCATTGTTATATGCATGAGTTATGAGAAAATGCAGGCTTTTGAAAATGTTCAAAATATATATATTGATTCAGTATTTGTTTCTAAAATTTGTGCGCTTGATGGCGCTTTCGAACTGATGTGTGCCAAAATTTGTATTATAATACGATTTTTGAGCTATGCGGAAAATATGAGCTTCTTGAGTAAGTAAATAATTGCTGTTGTGTTGCAAAAATAATGCCTCAAATGTTATATAACTAATAAAAAATTTAAAATGTGATTTTTGACGCTAATTCACAACCCATTTGAGATATTAAGTACATAGCGAAGCATGAGCAAATGCGACGATAGCGATTAGGCCACGTTGGGCCTTATCAAGAAGTAACAGCAAAAATAACAAAAACAAAAACAAATAATAATAATAGTTAGTGGAGTACATTTCCAAATATGTTTTTCGCTAAGATAATTTTAATATTTCAAAATAATTATTTTTATCAATAATAATCTTGGAAGCTTAGCAAAAACTAATTACTGATTAAACGATATTTATGCATATACCTACATATATGTAGGGTTGCGAATTTTTTAATTAAAAATTTTTGGACTAAAAATTAAATTTGTTAATGCATGCGATGTTGAGATTAAAAATTATATCTTCATTTTTTAAACTAAGATTTATGACATTCAAAATTGAAATTATAATAAAAAAATATATTAAATATGTAAAAATATAATATAAATAAAAAATTTTGAATTCTAACACAAAGTCTTTATTCAATTCACAATTATGAGCACATGCTTAAGATAATATATAATAATTTCTCATTTTAATTTTCAATGAAAATGTTGTTTTTATATTTAATTCGGTATGCGGGAAGTTGAAAATATTAACTCACTTAATTTTTTAAATCATTATTTGCAACCCTGTATATCCATATGTTTGATTTTGTATCTAGTACAAAATAAATAATCCTTTCCAACTAATTGAAATAAAAATTATAAAACAGAGAATTGTATATGATTATTTTTAATTGCACGCCAATGACTGCTTATTTATTAAGCCAGATTGCCTGAATTGTCTTTATGGAAAATTCTATTTAATGAAGAATTATATGCTAATTACTAGATTAAAAGACTTAAAAAATTGTAATTTGCACGAACTTTCATAAGTTATGAGGCGTCAAACTCAAGGAAAGCTATTTAATTGAACGAAATTAAATGTATCAGAAGCACAAGGCGCACCGTTCGAAGTCGCCCGTTGCAATGACGTTATGCGAGTTCAATAAAAAGTCGCAAATTATCTTTTAATTACCGCTGTTTTCTGCCCATATCTCATCGTAAATACAATTAATCAAATCATCTTATATGTATAACACAGGTTTTATTCTAAATAAAGTCGCGCAATTTTAATGAACTCCAACTAATTCGCCACACTGGCGAGGGCGACCTCACAAAGCTTGCATCATTGCTACATAAATGCACTCAAATGCAAAACACAAAAAAAAAAACAATACCAAATAAAAATTAATAATAAACACCCATTTAATATAACAACATGAGCCGCAATGCAGCACATTTAACAATAAAATTGCAGATGCAAAGCAAGCAAAAACACCAGAGCCACAAAACAAAAAAAAAAAAAAAACTGCATAGATTAAAAAAGTGACAATAAAATGACAGCTAACAGCAGCATCAATAACAGCCGGCCGCTAGAAATAAAGTGAGCTGACAACAATGCAAGCGAAAACGATAATCATAACATCATTAGTGGCAAGCAAAATGAGGCGGTGAGCCAACGCTACGTATGATCGCATCGCCAACAACAACGTCAGCGACAACTTCTCAAATAGTGGCGGCAGCAACGCATCACGGTGTGCCGCGGCGCGGTGAAGGTGTGCCGCGCTGATGTGATGCGGTATGACGGGCGGTGGGTTGGCGCAGCGCAGGTGGATATGCGCTTGACTGACCGGGAGACTCGCAGCCTTTTAATATAGATAATCACGCTAAAAGCAACAACAACAACAAGATTAAATATGCTAAACTGATCAAAGCTAATCATATGTAAATCATGCTGCAAACAGTGGGGTGTCATATATGCCCAGTAGGAAAGGCGAGCGCTTACAAACTCTCTGCTTCTGCCAAAAAGTAGGCACGTTTTTAGGTAGATGCCTCAAAAGTCTTGTTGGTGTTCGGTAGTAATTCTCAGCAACGTGCCTTTTGGTTTGCGTCAAAGTTTACCGCAAAATTTAATTACTGG